CACCCTTTTGTACTCCATTTTCGCGATGGAAACCCCCTTACTTTGCTACATCAATTTGATCATGATATAGATGGGTTTGTCTGAAAATAGGGGACCGCAAGTTTTCGATTTATTATATCTTTTCTGGCTTTCTCCATTGAAATTGCATTTTTGCGAGGAGAAAATCATACTAAATCAACATTTTCAGACGTACCCAGGTGATTTCTAGTCTTAAACAAATACCGAAGCAAATCTGGTCGCCACACGCGTCCGCCGATGCTCGGTGGCTTTTGCAAGGGCGGCAATCCAGCCAAGTCAGGTTGGCCAACCAGGTGGCTGTGGGCACTGTGGAAAAGTGGACATAGGAACCCAACCCCCCAACCCCCCACACAAAAATAGAACTAGATACAATAACGTGTTTATCATCACTATTTGTGTATTTCTATTGCTATGATTCTCAATTATAACATCATACTAATATACATATATATATATACACATATTATATACAGTATACACATCATCACCACTACGTTGGTAGCATCCAGATTCTACGTTCTTGTAGGGTTTCTATATCCTAGAATTCGATTGTAGTACTATCACTATTCATCCCAACCTCTCCATTTTTATACATGTTGACAACCGGCCAACCTCATGAAATGTGACAAAAACCAACAGCTGAAGGATGATCTTCGTGATATGACAACAGCATTGGGAAGACAACCCCAGGAACACCAAATGAACACCAAACGATCCTTACGACATGAGATTAGCCCAACCTCTTCCAAACATATTCAAACACATTCCAACCCTATGGATCCAAACATTTCCTTGGACTGGAAATCACTTACAGTAGCGGATCTTACCGTAACCCCCTAATTACTACAATACATAAATTAAAACATATCCAAATACTTCCTAAGAAGGTACTTGGATCCATAGTGTAAGATTTCTTGGACCCATTTATAGATAATTTCCCATTAAAACATCCCTTCATATAGATGATATTCCCTCGCCATGTTTGATTACTGGAAGGTGGCAGGATTACAATGAGGTGGGTATCATTAATATCACCAGCAATCCAAAGAATCCAAAGAGTTCAGCAACTGAGCCAGAAAGGGTGGTTTTGGGGAAGCTTTGGATTTGATCGCCACATGGCATACTTAAATCAAGCTTAAAAGCTTGCGAAGACTGCATAGGTACCCATAATTATTGTTCCTACCAACATGTTCATTTGGATCCAATTTGGGGATATGAATGGGTATAGAACATTTTCAGGCAGACCCATATTATAAGATTTGTTGGCTGAAAAAAAAACTGAAACAACCAGCCAGCGCCAGCGGCCCCAATCGACTGGCAACTTCAGACTGCCGCCTATCGGTGCAACGCAGCTATCGTACCGAGCTACAAGCCGCAGCTGCCAGGTGGCTTGCTGCGAAACTGCACCAAAGGCTATAGCAGCAAAAATACATGTTGGTGAAAAATCCTACTAACGTCATACTGAATCCTACAAAATCCTACCAAGCAATGGTAACTTATCTGATCCTACTACATAAAAATGATTGAAACATAAATTGCTTTCTTCGAGTCATCCCCACCCTGAAACACTATTCTGACATAGTTTCTGACATACCGTCTCGAAGTACAATATGTTCAATATGGCATATTTATTCTGACATTCTATCTGACATTCTTTCCGGCATTCTATCTGGCCTCTATTCTGACATTCTATCTGGCATCTTTTCAGGCATTCATTCTGTCATTCTTTCTGGCATTCTTTCTGGTACTCTATCAATCTGGCATCTATTCTGTGACATTCTTTCTGGCATTCTATCTGACATTCTCTCTGGCGTCTGGCTGAGGTCCAGCAGTGCCCACTAAACTGAGATCTGGAGCTCGCGGTTGAACGCCCGGCAGTGCCCACTGACATCTGGCGAGGTCCGGCGGTGCCCACTGCGGTCTGGAGTTCGCGGTTGAGGTCCGGCAGTGCCCACTGAGATCTGGAGCTTCTAAATCTTAAATTTATACATGATAACAACAATAAGTTTCAACTTGTGGGTAAAATCCTGCCAAAATCCTACTACACCAATGATAACTTATGAGAACCACCTTTTTTGTGGGGAGTTACTGTGGTGATGCCCCCCCTCCAAACTATCATCCAACCAGAATCGGGTTGTTGCCTTCACCTTCACCATCACATCGCGAACTTCAAATCTGACCATTTTGTGAATGCTGCAGGGAATCACCCCAAAACATCCCAACTGCAAACGTTTTGATGATTTCTGGGATGGTTCCCCTCCCACACCACCAATTCCTGTTGACATGGTGAATATGAGATACCTGGCAAAAAAAAAAAATCTTGCTGGTTACATGATATATTTTACCACTGGTAGCAACAGATTAAAATACTATATGAAGATTATAAAGTATCTAACCAAGGTTGACCCAGTTGAGGTCATTGTGAGTTCGTGATCAGCCAAGCCCCACAGGGGATACAACGCTTCAGCACCACAGCAAATGGACACATGTAAACGGTGCTCCTTGTGTGGACAGGAACGCGGCTCGAACCAACCCTAGGGACCCAAAGAATGTGGGCATAGTTCAAATAAGAATGGACAAGAAAAAGTCACCACCATCACAAAGCAAGCTCATAGCGAAGATCATTGGGTGTTCATGAAACCTTTGCAGGAAATCAGTGTTGCGACCACTAAAGACTGTGGGTTCCGGGAAACAATGCCATACTCCAAGTCTTGGATGCCGAACTCCCATCCTGCTGGCGTCATTGGTCAGCGACAGCTCTACTGAGCCACCGCTTTGCTGTGGCTCCCGAGTCGGTCCGTTGTTCTTGTTCTGAGTGCAGCACCGCACTTAGTCCATGCACTGAAAAAAATCGGCCGAGTTGACCAAACCAAATGGAGAATACAAATGAATATAGCTGAATCTAAGAAATTCCAAGACCATATTTGGTGATGTAAGTTCTTTTACATCCTACTTAAAATGTCTTGGTATGTTGATTTCCTTTGACCTTCATATTTTCCTTCAGGGCAGTTGACCAGCAACCTACAACGCGTAGACCGTGGCAACCCGCATCGGCAGTAAAAGACCATGGGAATCCTATACCTCCCTCCCCCAGAAATATGGTTTTGGTTTTGCCACCTCCATATATATTGCAATGTATTGCAACATATAGTCTTACATACGGTGAGTGCATATATATATATATATCTATCTATCTATCTATCTATCTATCTCTCTATCTCTCTATCTCTCTATCTATCTATCTATCTATCTATCTATCTATCTATCTATCTATCTATCTATCTATCTATCTATCTATCTATCTATCTATCTATCTATCTATCTATCTAATCTATCTAAATATACATATATATATATATTAACAATTTTGTTTACATGATAGAATGCAACATAACTGAAACCTAAACACTAATAAAACATAATACATAATCCACAAATATAGTGCTATGTATTATAATATTTATAATGTATTATATTATATATATATGAATTGTCCGTCTACTGATTTTCTATGATTTTCTTGAGCTGTCTGTCACTTTTACTTGCTGGGAAATTAGCGGGACTTCGACTGTCAACTCTATTTTGTTGATTACTTCAGATGGGCCCCCAACAACGATAAATCGTGAATTACTATTGATCTACAGTATCAGTTGCTACTGCAAAAGAAAGGACCCTGCACACGAATAAACCGTGCTTTTCAAACTTAGCGATGAACATTGCACTTAGGCAAAAACATGCAAAAACCATCCGTTCACCAACTGCAGATTTTCGTCCACTTGACCGGGAAGTGGATTCTTCTTTCTCTGGGACACCCTGGTGCAGTACCATCAACATAGCACCTTTAGGAAGGACCTTTGAAGCGGAAACTGGATAATTGTTGGCGTTTGTGGGACCCCCTCTCTCTGTCTCTCTCTCCACCGACCCACTGAATGAAGGTATATTATTGTGGGTTGTTTGAGGTTGTTTTTTATGTTCGGCTTTGACCTTAAGACATCCTCAAAACATTGGAGTTTATCATGGCTATGTTACCACCTTATGCTCCTTATGCTCGGTGGACGCTTGCGACCCACAGCCGACTGCGCGAATTCGACCACCAGGGTCAAAGCTACACATGCCACCTGGCTCCTCTAAATCACATTGTTGATGTGACATGAAGAAAGAGCATGAGAAGCAACGTCACTTCGATACCGTCTGAAGGACATGTAAGGACATGCCATGATTTTTCACTACCTGAGTTGATCAAACGTGAAATTCTATTAACTTGAGAGCAGCTGCAGCCCACTTCGGGATTGTTTTTTTTGTTGTTGTCGTTGCTTCAGGCAACAATTCATTAGCCATTCCGCTACCACAGCTCTGCCACTATGTAGACTTACCTGGTAGCTACCAGATCTACCGCCAGATTCCAGGTTCTTGTTCCAGGTCAAAGGACTCCAAAAAAGGAGTCAAAAAGGTACGAATGCAGGAAATAAAAAACAAAAAACACCACCACCACCACCCAGCAAAAGAACAACAACAGGGTTTTGCTGCGTTGCAAGGTTCAACATATTATGTGATAGTGCAAAGTGAAGGCACACTCTTGCCAAAGCAGCGATGCTCATTCTTGCAGTCTTACACTCAGTTCATCTCAGTTAAGTGTTGGGGATCCAGTAGAATGATGTAGAATGTATGCTTGGTTGGTGGTTTTCAACCAAGCCCAGAAATTTGCATCAATTCAGGTTCAGGTTAAGGCACCTGAAGGACCTCAAAGACAAATCACTGTTTCAAAAACCCGTCAGAAACCCACAGGTAACAGCACCAACTTTTTCGTCGCAACCATTTACCGTATTGAGGCAATCAAATATCGAGCTTGTGCTGGTATAAACATATATAAACCCACTTTGAAGGCAGTGAAACATTCACATTTTGGATCTTTGACATTACTAAACCGCATGATTATTTGCAGCACTGAGGGCCAAAGATGGCAACGATTGGCAACCTCTTGGCTAGAGCCACATGTTGGCATTGTCGCCCACTTTTTGGGACTTTTTCAGTGACATGTTTCCGATCTTCTTATTCTTCCTGCACGCAGGTGAGGAATGCTGGGGAACAGGGCTAGGGCTTACGACGACCGTTTGCAATGCTAGCATTTTGAAGGCAATGTGGGATCCAAAACTCCCAACCCTGTCTGAAATTATCATCAGAATCGGAAACCTCAAAACTACAAGTTCCAATCGGATAATCATTTCTGGCGACCCGATGTTCTAGCTAGTGAGGCCTAACATTGCCGCAATCCAAATAGTGATATCTCATTGAAATAGTATTTAAATTGGTGCGCGAGTGGAGTTGGTTGGACAAGTGAGGAGAGCACTTTCAGGAAAGGCCAATGCAAACAGCCACGTAAAACCTCCGGTAATCAAACATGACGAGCTGGGAAATCAGTCAACTAGGTGGGCAGCTATACAAGGGAAATATGAAAGATAATGTGTTTCTCAGCAAACAAAATTTGATTGGAAATTATGGATGATAGAATTGTTATATCTATCAAGTTATATCCTCAACTTTTATTGTTTCTTAATTTGCCTACAAAAAACACCAAAAAAAAACATAGTCTCTCCAGTGACATCTTTGAATCCCAAAGCCCGGGGATGTGTCCTGCGGTCCAAACATTGATGGCAGTATTGGCCTCAGTTATTAAACAACGGCTATGAACACCTTGGACACCATTGGACACCATCAATAATGTCGATACAAAGAGGGAGAGAGAAAAGAGCAAAGAGAAAGAACACATAATATATATATATATATACCTGTATGTATGTAGTTATGTCTTATGTATTCTGCCTGTGTTGATTTATGCGTTACACAATCAATGGATACAGCTTCAAGAATGCGGTGCAAGGAACCAACCAATCACTCAATCCCAGCCAATGTTTCACCTATTTCAGGGGTTCCGCTGTTATCATGCTAGTTCTCGGCATCTAAAATGAGTTGGTATACCCTATATGTATATATATATATATGTATATTTTTTTAATTGATATGTGTATATATATATATATATCTGTGTGTACACTTAGATAGGCTTCCAAACCAAAAAATGTATCAAACGTGACCGGGGAGGCCTTTTCCTCTACCACAAACACTGCATATGTTGTCCACTTTCCCTAGAGAAAATCATGTGAATGTGAATTTCAATAACGGTAAAAATGGGGTTACCCCCAAATCATCCAAGTCACGGATGGCCATGACTTCGTATTGAAACAACCATGGTGACTTGGGGATGCCCCATGACTTAAGAAATGCCCTTGGATTGTTGGAGGTCCAGGGGTTCCATGTTTGCTGCTGCGGGCCCCACTTAGTAAATGCCCTATGCCCCCACTTATATCTGGGATATCCCCACTTATGGGATGAAATTCTGGTTATATACATATATACGAATCTACATATCTATACATACATACATACATACATCCATCCATCCCTCCCTCCATCCCCCCCTCCATCCATCCATCCATCCATCCATCCATACATACATGACATGACATGACATGACATGGCATGACATGACATGACATGACATGACATGACATTACATACATATCTATACATACATACATACACACACAGACATACATACATACATACATCCATCCATCCATCCATCCATACATACATACATTACATACATACATACGTACGTACGTACATACATACATACATACACATACATACATTACATTACATTACATTGCATTACATTACATTACATTACACTACACTACATTACATTACATTGCATTGCATTACATTACATTACATACATATATATATATATACACATGGCTTATAAACCACGGATCCGGTGGGATTCAAGTTCCACAAGCTGCCCCCAGGTCCAAGGATCATGAGTCGCCAGCGCTGCAGTACCTGGACTGGATCATCTCTAAACAGGGCGTGCCTCGGTGATTTCCCGGCGGAGCGTCAACATTTTCCGGGGAGGTCATTGGGAGAATATCTCGTTTTCATCAAGCAGTTATGTATATTTACTGTCTATATATGGTCTCGTGTTCCGTGTTCCTACCCCCCAAATGGTATGGGTCCCCAGATAGCCTAGTTCTTTGCAGCATTTCTGCCTACCAGCATCGCATTTACTAGGTACATGCTATCTTTTAGACGACCTTCGTAGCACACATACTCCCTCAAAGACCTACGTGCTACCTATAATTAGTCATATAAAGATGTGCCATGTATCTACTTCCTATTTACTACCTGTGTACTCTCACAACACTACATGTGTTTAACATATACTGTACCTACCTACCACACAATTCCAATGATACCATACATACCATACATACCATACGAACTTTGACCATACATATCATGCCTTTCATACCTATCATACATACCACACATACCATACATATGAAACATAATTACCACACATACCATACATACAATACAAAACCTACATGCCATACATACCATACCTACCTTACATAGGAAATATTCCATACCCATCATAGTAACCATACATACCTCACAGACCATACATACTGTCATATCAAACATACCATACCCAACATACTTACATACTACCCCTACCATCCATACAATACCAACCGTACATACCATACATACCATACCTGCCATACATACCAAACATACCATACATTCCAAACATATCCAAACATACCATACATTCCAAACATACCATACATACCAGGCCAATCAACCATACATGCCAAACATACCATACATATCAAACATACCGTACATAAGATAATTACATACCATACTCAACACCCACCATGCCATATATATATATATATATGTGGTCCCTCCTCCGTCTCTCCACCCCTCCCCTCCCCCCCCATGGGTTGGGTCCCCAGGTAGCAGCCCCAATTCCCTTCTATTTGCAAGCTATTGGCAGCATTTCTGAGGTCCAGCTTCGTATTTGCTAGGTCTTTGCAGCATTTCTGACTACCAGCCTCGCATTTACTAGGTACATGCTACCTTTTAGGCGACCTACGTAGCACACATACTCCTTCAAAGTACCTACGTGCTACCTATAGTCATATATACATGTGCTATGTATCTACTGTATCTACTTCCTATTTACTACCTGTGTACTCTGACAGCACTACCTGTGTTTAACATATACCGTACCTACCATACATGTCAATGATGCCATGCATACCATACCTATCATATCTAGCATACATATGAAACATAATTACCACACCTACCATACATACAATAGCAAACATACATGCCATACATACCATACCTACCTTACATAGGAAATATTCCATACCCATCATAGTAACCATACATACCATACAGACCATACATACTGTCATATCAAACATACCATACCCAACAGACTTACATACCATAGCTACCATCCATACAATACCAACCACTCATGCCATACATACCATACCTACCATACATACCAAACATACCATACTTTCCAGACATGCCGTACCAGACCGACCATACACACCATACATACCCAACATACCATATCACACCCCCACCACACCACGGGGGGGAGGGGAGGGGGGGTGGCAGGGCCTGATGCATATATATATATATATATATTTTTTTTTCCATACATACAGTACCCCCTCCCCCGCAGCACACACACCCCAAAACACCATGGGGGGGGAGGGGGACAGTACCACACCCCCACCACACCACAGGGGGGGGGAGGGGGACATTACTATGGCTGACCATGACCATGGCCGGGGGGGAGGGGGGTTGGAACGCTGGACATATATATCTGTGTGTGTGTGCGCTTGGGTGTATGATATATATATATATACCTGAGAAGGGGTGGAACGAAAGCCAGCGCTTGCTTTTTGACTCGCGCGGGGGCGCGTGAAACTCCACCTCATCCATATGGCATGGCTCAAACATGAAGCGCCCCAACATCAACAATTGCTATCGGGTCATAATTTTCCAATCATTAAATGGACCTTTTTAGGGTAAACTCCGCGATTTTGTAACTTCTATATCCAAATATGTTTCCTACAATGTACTGCGGCATTGTGAAAAGTTCTATCTCAAGTTCCGTAAATCCGCCTTTGGTTGCTCATTTATCTTAAAACAGCGCAAGTTTGCTCCCACCTATTGTAGATAAATAATACCCGTTTTTTTGTGTGAACAGTGGTCATGTGACCTCTCAAAGTCTAAATTGTTTTCTCCCAGAATCGTGGTCCATGCTTCTCCGCGAAGTTCCGCAACATTTTGGCCGTACGGTGAGAAATCAAAACATAGCTCTACTCGCAAAATGGGCAGTGCAAACCCAAGACAATATTATAACATACGTAAGAAAGGGTATAAGAACGAATGAAAATCGAGGAAAACAATGCAAAACCCACGGGAAATATAGAACAGTGGCGAACATGCAGTCCAAATCAAAAGTATATATATATATATTTAGGCCATTTACAGACCTGGGTACCCCCCCCACCCCCCAAGGGTCTGGAAAATAGGTATTTTACAGGAAATGTCGCGGAATAGCATCATCCCTGACATCGATAGAGATAATTGTTTGGCATCCCGGAAAATCTTCTCAGCTATCACACTCGCCAAACATCCCTTTTAAAAGGCACACATACTATCACGGACGTACAGATGCATATCATTCCCGTCATTGCCATTAGAAGATTCAAATTCTTTCTCGATGTTTTAGTACAAGATTCACTTTTAGTTCTGTTTCAGCCTTCTCAGTACGGCCTCTTACAATGATATTACAGCATTTGTCTCCTAACCTAGGTGGCTCCTGGGCGCAATCTTCATTCCAATGCTTTGTGACAATAACCAGAGGCCTGGAGCCTATGCATCACTTGACAGTCGACTCAGTTCTAAACCGGAAAGACTATTCCTTCCGTTTACCAGTAGGTCGTTTTTGTAGTTCTTATCACAAAACTACCAGAAATCAGGGAAGCACCAAGAAACGTCAAACAGCTTTAAGCATTATAAATACTCTAATCTGCAGATTGTATTTATTTTTCTTACTCTGTGAACGAAATCACACTTTTCTAACTTCACACAGATTACCATGAAACCAATTTTCCCATGCAACTCCTAAAATCTTACAACTCATACATCTTTTTTCCTATACCATCCGCATCTTGCTCCAAGGTTTCATGGCAATGTCTTGTACGCGAGTCAGCCACTATTTCCTATCACCAAACTACATTGCTCATCATCTAACATTATCTACAGAAACCAAATCGGATTTCCTGCTCAATGTTTCCGCTCGTTGACATTGTCTTGGTTTCCACTGTATTTTTTAAAGCATTGTTTAGTTATAACATTTTCCTAGGTTTTCACTGTATTTTTCTAACATGTTACATGCCTCCTAGCATGTTCACGCGCGTCCTCCATGTTGTACTGTTTTCTACATCGTTTCCTCTAGTTGTTACAAGCATTTCCTAGCTTGTACACCGTTTTCCTAATATTGTCACAACTTTTCTTCCAGTTTCCACTGCTTTTTCTACCGTTTCCTGTGGTTACTTTCTTCTCTTTTGTAGGTTTTCACTGTGTTTTGTCCAGCTTTTTTTTATTACATGCTTCCTACCATTTTCACCGCTTTCCTCTATGGCTTTTTGTACCATTTCCTCTCGTTTCCTGCATTTCATGCATTTTCAATATATTTTTCCAAGAGTTTTACCCGTCTCCTTCAGTTTCCGATCGTTTTTGCACCATTTCCTCTGGTTGTTATCGCATTTTCCTGCACTTTCACTGTATTTTTCCAGCATGCTTACTGCATCGTCATAGTTTGTTCCTAGCAGTCGCTCCGGTTTCCTCCATGTTCCAACAGATTTTGCACCCTTTATTCTGGTTGTTATCACATTTTCCTGCCAGGTTGTTATCACATTTTCCTTCACTGTATCTTTCCAGCATTTTCCAGTGGATTTTGCACGATTTCCTCTGATTGTTATCATGTTTTCCTGCAGTTTCTATATCCTCTTCGTGGGTTTTCAGTCTATTCATGCATGTTTAATCTATTTTTCCAAGATTTTTACCCGTCTCCTTTTTGCACCATTTCCTCTGGTTTGCTGCATTTTCAATGTATTTTTCCAAGAGTTTTTCCCGTCTCCTTCATTTTCCGATCGTTTTTGCACCATTTCCTCTGGTTGTTATCGCATTTTCCTGCACTTTCACTGTCTTTTTCCAACATGTTTACTGCATCGTCATAGTTTGTTCCTAGCAGTCACTCCGGTTTCCTCCATGTTCCAACAGATTTTGCATGGTTTGTTCCTAGCATTTTCCTCTGATCGTTATCATGTTTTCCTCAAGTTTCATTGTATTTTCCAATACATCCTCTTCGTGGGTTTTCAATATGTTTTGTCCAGCATTTTTTTACTACATGCTTCCTATCATTTTCACCTCTTTCCTCCATAGGTTTTTGCACCATTTCCTCTGGTTTCCTGCATTTTCATACCTTTTCAATATTAATATTAATCCAAGAGTTTTACCTGTCTCCTTCATTTTCCGATCCTTTTTGCACCATTTCCTCTCGTTGTTATCACATTTTCCTGCACTTTCACTGTATTTTTCCAGCATGTTTACTGTATCGTCATGGTTTGCGCCTAGCATTCGCTCCGGTTTCCTCCATTTTCCAAGGGATTTTCCATGGTTTGTTCCTAGCATTCGCTCCGTTTTCGTCCGTTTTCCAGGGGATTTTGTACGATTTCCTCTGATCGTTATCATGTTTTCCTGCAGTTTCATTGTATTTTCCAATGCATCCTCATGGTCTCTCCGGCCACCAAAAAGGCGGACCTAGGGGGAATCGATACCCCACCGTCAGCAAATTGCCTAGTGGTACATAATCCAGCAAAATGCTCCGTTTTCTCGCGCTCAACACAGGGGCACGGCGAGATTTCGTTCCCTTTCGGCAACCCCCCCCCCCACACCCCCTATTCTCACTTCGTTCGCAAACAGCAACTAGCCAGCTAGCTGGCTTTCGTAATATAATTAAATAAATAATATCATCATATTACTAGGGTTGCTTGACATGGTTGTTTGACAAAAAATACATGAGTATTTTATTAAACCCTAAAAATGGGACAAAAATAGACAAACCCAAACAACCCATGACATGAATATCGACGACACAACTTGTCCTCGAGCCTCGACCCACACGTTTCGCGAATTGAGAGCCCCGACAGCTGCCGGAACAGAGAGGTTTTTGTGGCACCTCTTTTTCTTGACCTGCAAAAATGGGCGACATGAGAAAGAAAGGCCAGCGGCCAGGGAGAGAAAACGGTTTCTGTTCGGAAAAAGCACCTCATAAATCCATCATAAAATGACTCATAAACCATCATTTAAACCATTTTAAACCATCATAACTAAATCAAACCCGCGAGTTCTGCTACTGGAAGCTTCGGGAGTTTGGATGGTTCCAACATGTTCCAACATGTTCCATAGCAAACATCAGTGAACATTCAACCATCATCCCAGGATATCCCAGGTACCCAGCAAACGGGCTACGGCGTAGTGGCTACGGCCTGAATGATTTGACCATATCTCATGATTTGACGGTCGTCCAGGGACAAGTCCTAAAAAATGACAATCTGATACAATCTGGATATATCTTGATAAATGAACACAATCCATCAATCTGAAATAGTGCCCTTTTGGAATAGTTTCCCTGTACATTCACCATCATTTCAGCGATGTCGCAGTGAGTTCGTTATCATTCATCCAGAAATATGTACCCGAGATTTCGCAAACACGCCAATATAATTGTATATAATTGTCCAGCTCACTCCTCCTCCCACTCTGGTGCAGCCTTTATGAACCGGTTTTCCCCTATGAAAGCCCGTCAGGTCAGTGCTGCGAGTTCAGCACTCAGAGTTCTTCACATATTCCCGCGCGTGACATCCAAATACATCTCATATATCTCTGTACAACGATGCGGGTATGTCCAGCAGTGAACTCGCCAGACCATTCCAACTCCATTCAGATTGGTACCCCTATCCCAGCTAAGCATCTCTCAAGGCGTGGGGACCCCAATTGGTAGACATGGATTTGACATAACTTCCCCGCTTCTAGTTGGAACTTGGAACATCATGGAATTAGCTACCAGTTTCAGTGTCCCATCTGGTCACTACAGGATGGATCGCTGCGAATGGCGACCAGCTCAAACGATCCGAAAGTGCCATTTGTCAGCTGCCCCTCCATCCTTAGGCCGTGCAGATGCCAAAATCATGGGCACAGGGCACAATCATGGGCCTGTCCCCTGGCCTTGGCCCCGATGATTGGATAATGACTAAGATAGGCCTAGACACCTCCAATAAAACGTCCCTCTTGCACCGTTGCCATCCATTGCCATACCATCCTAGTTACCAAAGTTGGGGCTAGTGATCAAAATTGGGTACTGTTGATGTTTACGACTGAAAAAAGGCTACACCAACTGTTCTCCTCTGGGCCTCTTGGCCTCTTGAAATTCGACAGTTTTGATCCATGCCTACCGGAATTGCTTTGAGGCAAAAGTTTGCAGCACACACCCCAAACGACCATGTACTGTATAGCATATATAGTAAATTCTAGCGTATTTTATGTTTGCAGGTTTGCCGCTTGACCAACTAATGTTACTGTAATATACGGTAATATCATCTCACCATCCATCACTATCTTCCAAATTCAGACAAGTGATACTTCCATACATCAGGTCTTGAACCCATGTTGATCAACTGATTCTGTGGGAAACTCAGCAAGTCACTGCCGCCATCACCAGGTACCATCGGTACCATCCAAGCATCCACCCGGTCGCAGGAGACAGACTCAATGCGATGTTGCTTCAGCAGAGTGAATGCATTCAAACCTCCTCGGCCCTGGGGTCCCTGGCTGCTCTCTTTGCCCCGACCGGCGCCCAATTCCTTGACCATGGAGGGAAGCCGACGTCAGGTGCAAATCTTATGCAAAATTCAAGCGACTTCAGAAGAATCATTAAATACTTCTTTATAAGAAACAGTTTTGGATTGCTATGGATCTCTATCATCAAGGGCGTCAACGCCACTGAAATCAAAAAACAGTGGGATGCCCACTCTCTGAACCCAAAGGACCAAAGCCAAACGGCTGGCCCTTCAGCTGCAAATTCCAAGCGGCGCAACGAAACTTGGGATAGCTAACTCGCCTCAATAGAGCTTCGGACAAAAATCCGACGAACCAAACCGTAGATGTACCACACACACATACAGAGTTTTTGGAGAAACCAACGCGATATATTGAAAAATATCAATGAACATCGCCATACTGTATGCATGTATAGTATAAGATTGCTAACCTGTCAGAATGCGAATGTCTAAATAAGACTAGGCAAATCTTGTAACCATGTTTTTGCCGTTGGAGCCTCATGCCACGAGAACAAGGTTCAACATTTTCAGGGAACGACAAACGGTGACAACAGTATGACTTTCTGGCATCCAACCAACAGCATCCAAAAGCTACATCGATAATCTTCGATGCATTTTGTGGGAATTCAACAAGAACAACGGGGCATGAAATATACTGTACATCTCATCATCTATACTCATTCAGCATTATTTAGTGCCACAAATTCCTTGCCCTTAACACCCCCAACCTCCCCCCAAGAAAAAAAACACAAACACACTTGGTTTCTCAATCAAAAACACAAACATAAACTAGGGATTTTCCTTGGCATTTTCCATCGGCCGAGATTGGCCGAGTGGCAAAAGGGTCAGGAAATATTGCAACTGCTGTGGAAAGAAAGAGCCTCTAAGCTCCGTGGCCGGATCAGTGGAAAGCTTCACCACCTGAGGATGCGGATGCTACCAAATCAATGGATGATTGATATATAATAAACATAGATCAATGACTGCTGAAAAATTAAAAAAAAAACTTTCTCCATTTTTAAGTAGTATATAAATCTATATACCAGTACCTATCTATTCTTCCATCCATCTAGCTATACTATGTCTCGCTATCGACCTGTGTGTCTATCTATCTAGCTAGCTAGTTAGCTATCTATCTATCTGTCTATTGATCTATTGAACAATCTATTCTATTCTATTCTACCCCATTCCATTCTAATTCTATTTGTCTACTTATCAATTTACATATCTGTCTGCCCATCTAATAAACATTCACAAAATCCTACGCATTGCAAATAAAACATAGAGCAAAACATGGATTTTTTCCATGTCTGCTGAGCGAAAGGTGGTGATTGAATGGCCCGTTGGTCAGGAGCCCTCCTTCTTGGCCTCTTTTTGGTTGGAACCATGGTTTCACGAGGAAATTATCCACAAATGCTGTATGAATTCTTAAGAATATCCATGTTGATAAGTTAACTATGTTAATGTGTTCATATCGGAAGTGCCATAGAATTGGCATAATTATGAAGGCTATATTCCCAACTTATGGGGATTTTATCCATGGTTATAATAGCATCTTGTAGCCCTAAAAATCACTGGCCGCAGCGCACCTCTGCCGTCTTTGCTCTGGCGTTCACAAAGGGTTTGGGCGATAGCAGCCGCGGAAGCCGAGTCGGTGAAGGTGGGGCGGAGGGGTTGGGCTGCCCCAAAAAATACTGCCGCAGGACATCCTCAGCGGACTGAGGCTTTGAGAAAATAGGTGATTATCCCATTTATATGATATGGAAGTTTCCTGAAATTGGGGTACCCTTAAATCGTCCAGTTTAATAGGATTTTCCATCATAAACCATCCATTTTTTCTCTCTCTCTCTCTCTTTCTCTCTCTCTCCATCGCCATCTACCATCCATTTTGGGGTGCCACTATTTATGGAACCTCCCCATATATGATTACAATATATTCCACAGTCCTTGAACGCACATATATGTTGTGCAATCATATCAGCACATATCAACACATATCATCGCCTACAGATGTCGGTTCATAACTTGCCTGCAAATGGATTTTCATCCCAACAAATATGTTAATGGACATTTAAAGCTTTGAATTACCTGCGTTTGGGAAGTACCCATCTACTTCTTCCTCAAATTCCAACAACATTCTCACCATGCCAAACAGGGGTGTTGGTTGGGCCGATTTTTGCAAAGGCATGCAAAGCGTATTCTAAGGGAAAATCATGCACAGTTTTTCCCCCGGTTCAAAAACAAGCTGGACTAACTTGGTAAAGTCAATAATTAGCAATCCCATTCACCAACCATTTGGGAATCATTTTACATCATCCCAAATTGAGGGTATTAGTCAATACAGTAAATGTCAATAATAAACCTCCATTGGGCATGGTTTATAGTTTATGGCATTGGCTTTGCCACACTAGTCTTGGTGCGGGCGCCCGGGTTGCTCCCAAGAACTCACATGACCAACTTCCCCTACAAAATGGATACCATTTACCCTTGGGTAAACTAAAATGGCTGTGAAAAACCAATGGTTTCCTACATGGAGGGAGGTTTCCTGAAACGTATTGAAACGTTGGTATCCCTAAATCCTCCGTTTTTTTCAATAGGATTTTCTACTTAAAACCATCCATTTTGGGGATCATTTATGGAACCCAAATGTATCCATAATTTACACCCCGTAGCTACAAGACTGCTGTTGCCTCGCTTGCCAGGCATCCATCAGGACATGAACACGCCAGGAGCCTTTGAACAACAGCGCAGGGCTGGAGGTGTCCTTGGCGGCGGTGCAAAGTTCCGGACAAAAATGACCACTCATCAAGATCGACCCTGCCAGCTTCAGTTGATGTTCCTCTTGAAAACTATGTTAGGTTTGAGGGAGTGTCACATCTTCAAAAAACTGCAGGTGATCCGCTCAATTCCTTTGCTTTGAGGATTTCACCGCCAAGCATCTTCCAAGTCACCTAGGCTGAGGTGGCTGAACCTTAACCCCTGTCATCATCCCCATTGCCCATGGGATTGGTAATTAATGATGCGGCAAAAGTCATAAGCCAGATTCAGCCAGATTGATAATTGGGATAGCAACCAACTAATTGCATAATCAGTAATTATGTATACAGTATACACATGTATACACATGATTTCCCAATGAAAAACCCGTTATAGTTGTAATGCCATAGGTCAATTCATAATTATATAGTTAGTTCCTGTTAATTCATTCATGTACTAATCAATCAAGTATTTTGAATTACATAGACTCGACATTATCACTCTCTCTCTCTCTATCTATCGCTATACCTTATCACTGACTTATGTATCTTAGTTTGTAGCTCGGTTAGCTACTTCCAATGTCTCTGAAAAAGTCCAAGTGACGCAGCCCCAAAGTCGTGGCCTTCTCCCCGTCCCGGTGCAATTCCCTTAGCTCTGCCAGCGTCTGCTCCGTCGCGCCAGAGCCGAGACAGGCACCGGCACCGCCGTCGGAACCGCCGGGGACGTCGAAGTGCGCGTGGTTCTCCTGCGAGGCACGGGCACGAACACGTTGCGATTTGAGTCGCGGATGCCAGGGGCGGATGCTTAGATAGGGGAGAACAAACAAACCAACCAAACAAACAACGCTATATATGTGATTCTTCATATAGATCCATTTTTTTTTGGTAAATTGGGTTATGAACCACTGAAGTTTGGTAACAAAGAACATGTAGTACAATGTATACATATATACTGGAATATAACTTGTGTTTATCCCCTTCACAAGTTAGTACTGGTTGAGCCATATCATAAACAGGAGCAGCCACATGCAGGGACCAGTGACCAGTTCTTAAAGGATGGATCTCGTATGTAACATGATTTAGAGGGAGCCTTGTTCAAGTTCACTCAGAGTTTTCGGGCACCAGCCTTGTTCAAGTTCACTCAGAGTTTTCGGGCACCACCGAAGCTGTGTAATCAAACGAAATGATATGATGGAAAATGATTGGAAACTGGCGTCTAGAGTCTAGAACCTCTTATAATTGCTTGATTTCGTGGGGTACAAAGCAGCTACTAGTTAATTACTAGTGTCGAACTTGGTTTTATCATCTCAGAGGGAAATGTCATTGTCCAAATGTCCAAATAGTCAGGAACCACTTGTCGACCTAGTTGATCCTATTTGGGGGCCTTAAATCAGCGGTCCCGCTAAATCAGCAACCAAAGAGTCAAAGAGTCGCAGGTGGTTCAAATGCGATATGATATTTTGCAAATGAGATATACAACCTGGAGAAAAAGTCAAAGGTCGAAGAGTGCTATCATTTGAAGATATTTGAAGCATATATCTTGCCGGCCATAGACAGACAACCACAGTCTTGACTGCTACTTAAAGGGTGCCTCCAGTACTTCTGGCAACCCCCATCAACCTTTGCCCCTTTCTTGTTCTCCCACACTGATGGGTAGAACATATCCAAATTCAAGAAGAATTGTGTCTGCAAATAAAAGGATATTCCGTTGCTAGGCTATATTTTGGGGTGATGCGGTCTCTTTGTTCATGCTTTATATCATTTTTCTCGAAACTCATCCTCTTAGTGATCCAAACATCTAAGAGGATTCAAACAGTCACTTAGTTTGAAAGTAAGTAACTTGCGTAACTCATGCAATACTAAACCCAGTTACGTTTGGGAATTATATGTCAATCCCAGATTGTATGATAAACACTAAGTCTATTGACGGCGGGGTCTCTCAGAAGTGATAACTTACAGTATACATCAGCTTTTTAGATTTTGTTTATCAAAATTGGCAGCGAGTACCATCCAATTAATCAACCTGGCATTCTTGTCATGGAGATCCAACCAACCCCCTCCATTATGGTGGCCTTCGAAATGACGTTTGGGCTTATGGATGGCAAATATTATCCACCAACAACTACGTTTATTATAAGGGCTTATGAATAATTGTTTTCTATTTGGGGTCAGCCGAATCTCCATTCGTATGCAATATGACCCACCCATACATATACATATATTATATATATATATGTATGTGTATGTAATATATACATGTACACACATATATATTAATATATATAATTATATATATATATATACACATCATGTAACATCTTTTAACAAAGAAAATGGCCATGAAAATTTGCATTCGCCAACTAACCGCCAGGTCGCATGCAGCAGCGCCCGGATCTCCCGTGTCGAGGGCCACAGCAGCGCCAGCGGCTCCGAACGGCTGGGCTTCACAGGCTCCGAGCCCTGCGTCCAGGAGCCGCTGTTGTCCCCGAAGACGAGGATAGAGAAACGCTCCTGGGATCCCAGGGTGGTCCAAAATGTGAAATAAGCCATTTATAAAACGGGATAGCAACAAACATATAAAGTCACTATATATACTTCTAAATGGGACAAGAGTATATAGTTAGTGACCATAGTAAGATAGTAAGTAAGTGTTAGTAACGATAGTTATATATAAGCCCCTTATGAATGGGATAATCCCACTGAATGGGGATTCATCAACGGCTTATGAACCACTTACTATGATCCTTCAAGTGGGGTATGAAGGACATGGCTGGGTCTTTCTTGTAAGGCTGCAGCATTGGGGGATTATGTCAACCATATAATTTGGGGATTAAACCATACTAACCATGCGGGGGATACAATGATAGGAATTTACACTAACCGTTTAGTTTAATTGTTTAATGTTAGTATATAATATCATGACGATAGAACAACGAATAGAAATGACGGGGTCCTCATGTGCAAGGTTGATGCAAGGGAACATCACCCGGACATACCATTGAATCGCGGAATGGCCTAATGTATGGTTTGTAAGGTACCGTACAAACGAAGTTTGAAGTAGCTGAAATGGCACTGAACTACAGGATACTAGAGGGATATCACCTCAATGGATTCAACTTCGTCGTCAAGTAGACCATAGTATACCACATCCCGGTTGCTAAGTGCTCCCACCGTTTGAACACATGGTACATATAGTAATAATCTCCACACCAGAAAGGATTCTACTGAGCCTGAGTCTGACCCTGTAAAACAACTAATGTGGTAGACCCATGATGAACCGTCCCCAAAAAATCAACATAGATGGGTGGTATAGACCATCCCTAGTAGTTGCTTATGACATTTAATAATCGAAGGAAGTTTAGAAGTGAAACTTCCGACAATATGGACAGTTGAAAAGCAGAGGTGAGAAGAGTCAGAAGAGATAGAGTAAGAAGACAGAAGATACAGATGCGCGAAAAGGTAGGAAAGTCGCGAAACACTGTGTTTTTCCAATGATTTGTGGCTCCGGAGGGTCGAAAAGTAGGCTCGCTAAAGCGGCGGGTGCGGAGCCAGCTGGCCAGATGAGAGATGAAAAGTTGCACGCCGTTGTGGTGCGAAGCACATTTCCAGGTCAAAAGTGTTAAAAACTGGCGGTCTCGGACCACTTTTGGAGGTTGAGATGTCGAAAAAGTGCACGCCGTTGTGGCGCGAAGCACATTTCCAAGTCAAAATGTACAAAACACACCAGGTCCGGACCACTTTTGGAAGTTGCGATGTCGAAAAAGTGCACGCCGTTGTGGCGCGAAGCACATTTCCAAGTCAAAAGTGTTAAAAACTGGCGGTCTCGGACCACTTTTGGAGGTTCAGATGTCGAAAAAGTGTCGAAAAAGTGCACGCCGTTGTGGCGCGAAGCACATTTCGAAGTCAAAAGTGTAAAACACTGAGGGTTTTGAGCCTTTTTTGACGTGAAGATGTCGAAAAAGTAGACACTGATTAACTTAACTAACTTGACTAACTTAACTAACTTCACTAACTTAACTACCCTAACTTCGACGACAACAGCAACAGCAACAGCAACAACAACAACAACAACAACCACCACAACAACTACAACTACAACGACTACAACAACTACAACAACTACACAACAACTACAACTAGAACTACAACTACAACAACTACAACAACAACAGCAACAACAACAACAACAGCAACAACAACAACAACAACTACTACTACTACTACAACTACTACAACTACAACAACTACTACTACTACTACTACTACAACTACACTTTACAAAACTACAACCACACAACAACTACAGCTACAACTACAACAACAACTACTACAACACTGCAACAACTACAACAACAACTACAACAACAACAACAACAACAGCAACAACAACAACAACAGCAACAACAACAACTACTACTACAACAACTACAACAACAACTACTACTACTACAACTACACTACACAAAACTACAACCACACAACAACTACAGCTACAACTACAACAATAACAACTACAACAACTACAACTACAAAACAACTACAGCTACAACTATATGACTGCAACTGCACTACACTAATTACATTACACCACGACTACAACTCCACTACGCTACAATTACAACTACAGTTGCAGTACATCACACTACATCCAGCAGTTGTGGGTGAGGTGACCACTGCAACCATTGCAACCACTCCAGCAAACACAACTCCAACCATCTTTCGGTCAATCAGTGGATTCGCTCTGCCATCCGTGATTCACAACAACCAACGTCTCCTATAGGTTTCCTATTCTGAAACTTCCGCCACCGCCTTGTGCGGTACTACTGGTAGCATTGGGCAGCATTGGGGTTCCCACGTGAAAAGCGAACATCCCAACGTTTGCATCAAAGGCACCGCTTCGATGCAAAAGGTGGGCACGGAGCCTTGTCGCAGCAAAACCCACAGGCTGCGATAAGACTCGTCCCAGTCCTGACATGCCGCGCGGAGCGCCAGAACGTTCAACTCTTTTCTTTGGGAATTCCGGTAGGAAATCGATGAACATCATTGAACATCTGATGATTTGTGTTTAATTAACAAATCTAATCAAACTCCTGTCTGAACCATGAAATGATTAATAGTTTCCCGCAGGTGTTTCATTCGTAGGAGTCCTGAGCCCTAGGATCTTTGCAAAGACGACTGGCCCAAGCTGTGCGATTTTCCCATGTGGTCCATGTTTTGTGGATGCTTGATTTAAGAAGAACGGTCAATAACAGGCTAAACATATCCAGGATTCTCGCACCTTCTGCTCTGCTTCCAGAGTCTGTGAAGTGGCTTCGTTGGGAACCTGTCTGGTGAGCCGCGCGATGCTGCGCGCAGATTGGTTTTGGCGATTCCATTTTGGAATATGCTCACCTCTTGACCTGTAGTGACTTTGAGGTGAACTTGCTAGAATTCAGCACACAGCCAAATGGGTTACATTGCCATAATCGAAGGGCCCCTGCTTGACGCAAATATAAGTCTCGAATACATAGCCATTGTGACATGATACAGAGGTTGGAGGGCAACCTAAGCTTTGGAAAGGTTCCAAAATGCATCGATTATAAAAAAAAAATTAGAAGGGCTCCAAAGGGTGAAGCATAGTGCAACTTAGAACAATCCACATCAAACATCATCAAACGAGGTTAAGAGTTACATAGAGTTACTATGAGTTTTTTTTTAGTTTTTTGCTCGGGGCCCATGGCCACTTGAAATCGCTGGCCGCTTGCCTGTTTCCTCTTCAGATTTAAGGGCCCTTCCATCTCGTACCATGTCAGCAAGCTCGCCTCAAAGGCTGGGACTGATTCTGGATATTTCTGGATCATGGCAATGGCAATGGCATATCCGTAGGGATT